GGGCCCGCGCAGGGGCTGCCCCGGCGGCGGGCAGAGCCGTCAGGGCGGCCCTCGGCGAGCGGCCGGGTGTGGGGCTGCGCTCTGCAGGGGCTCAGCCCGCGGCGCCTGGGGCACGGGAAAGGTGGAGTCGCACGAGGCTGCCACGGAAGAGCTTAAAGGAAAAGGGTGCGTGCAGCTTGTTGATGGTGCTGAAATTGTGGTCGTAGTGTATGCCAGCGTTTCCGCGATGGGACGCCCCAAGCAGGGAGAGCCCACGGGCGGGCTGTGACCTCCCCTGGGCTGAGAGCTCTCCGTGGCTCTGGGAATAAGCCGGGCACCGAGTCCCTCCAGTGTGGTGCAGCAGAGTGGGTTGGAAGATTATGCACGTGGCGCATTGGTGGATTGTGATGCTCTCAGTGGCAGCCAGTTTCAAAATGATAGGATAAACTAGAATATGATAAATTTGCCTAACAGGCAAAAAAAAAAAAAGTGTTTTTGACTTAATATCATTAATGAATGAGCTGCTGTAGTGCCTGAGTAAATACGATTTTACTGACTTGTTCACTATCTCTGTAGTTCTAGAGAGTTACTATCCCTGTAGTTACCATCTCTTGTATTTTTTACCAGTTCTCTTCACACACTGCAGTTCAGACATCTTGTATAAGGCCTCTGCATTTGTTCAACAAATGCTCTTTCACAAAGCAAAGTTTTGGGTTGATGAGCTCAGCATCCCAGTAGTTTAAATAGAAGTGCCACACAAAGCTGTTAGAGGAGGTGCTTTCAGGAGGTTGAGCAGGGCAGTGTGTACTTTGTAGAAATCACAAAATACACTGCCTGAGTTGTGTGACTAAAGCAGTAGTTGTCTTTGGCAACTTTTTAGTTTCTAGCTGTATGGTTCACTCGGTGTTATTTAGGCACAGAAGGGCTAGGAATGCATTTCAGATGGTTTAACACTGTTACAGAGTTCTGTACAGTTCCTAGAGCAGAATAAATTCTGGTTGCCAGTTACTGCACACAGGTTCCAGTGTCTCATTCTGAAGTAGCTGAGGTGATGCCATTGGAAGGAGAAACGTGAGTGTCTGTAGTCAGTGCTGGTTTTAGAAAAGTGCTGAGAGAGTGTTAGCTCCTTTTGGGTACATTGATTTAAAGAATTTTAAGTACTGTTTTCTTTCACTGATTTTCCAGTGGGAGTGCTGGCAGGGGACTGTTAGTTGGCAAAAATGTGGTGGATGAAAAGATTGTATTTCTGGAGAAGATGATGGTTTACATGAACGACTAAATCCAAAGAAGTTTGTATTGTACTGGGGGAGCAAATGTTATTGTAGGGGAGCAAGGCATCAATTTGAAGCTATTTGATCTACATTTTGATCTTGGTTCAGTACATGCCCCAAGATGTGACTAGGAAACATGGACTAAGAAATCAGCTTCAAAGAAACAAAATATGTCAAAGAGCTGGTTTTAAAAGAGGTTAAAATATTCAACAAGGAATACAGGTAATGAGCTAAAGTAGCATAATGAAATATTGTGTGAAAAAACACAAGTGTAGTGCAGGTATTAACTCATCAGAAAATGGAAGAGTTGGTCAGGATGCTAAATGAAAACTTCACCAGAGCTTCAGGTGTGGTTTTCATTTAGATTTTGGAATGTGAGTGTGAACCTTCATTCGGGCTAGGGAATGTGGCCCAGGACAGAATGCTTTTTCCTTTGTCCTTGATAGCAAAAGTAGGACTCTGACAAGTTTATGTGCCTTTTTGTCACACTGTCCCTTGGCACTTGAGTTATAACTGGTAATCTGGTTTTTATGGTTTGTCATTACTGTAGGGGATGCTTGCATTGCGCACGGCCTGTGGCAAATGACCAAGTATCTGCTGTAGCTGCTTCAGACACCTGAATTTGTTCAGCGGTCAGTCCTGTGGTGGAAGTATGTAGTTATTCATAGCTGCTCGTGATTTGATTTAATTGTCATCCCTTGACATCTTTTGGCCTAACTTAAAATTAAAACACTTAATTTGTAAATCCTTTTCAGAAGCTTCTCATGTTGTGTTCGAATTGTTATACTTGCTGCAGTCTTTGTGTAAAATTCCTATGCATTCTGTAGAATTAGGAGGAATCTCTTTGTACATCACATTTGTACCTTATCTAGCATTAGAGGGTCTTAGTCAATGACTTGGGTTCTGGTCTTGCACAAAAAAGAGGCTTTTTCTGGAATCAGGAACATGAGATGAAGGGAAGCTAAAATAAGGGCCCCAGAAAATTTTTAGAGTAGAAACTGAACTTTGAAGTGTGTTTTTTGTTCATGCTGATGCCAAGTGCAGAGGATGCATTAATTATGCAATGAACCTCTGTGCAAAAGAGAAATGGGAAATACTGAGAATTACACAGGAAGGGGGGTAGGAGGAATTTCACTATAACCTGAGAAAACACTGTATAACCGTGCTTGAGAGAGGGAACTTACAGTTACAATACTGGCTGAAACACTTGGAACTGTGAACAAGCTGTTCTAGGGTTTGAACCCTGCTCTGGTCAGCGGTGCAGGACTTTATAAATTCGTTTTATTCAGAGAGATTAGATCAAGTAAATACCTAGATATCTCACCAATTTTGTGTAAAAAATAAACAAAATAAAAAAAAAAACCCGAACCCACAAACCTTCTCCCTAAATTGATCAAAAGGGTTAATTAAAATATGATTATGTTTTGTGGCTATGGTAATTTGTGTCAATCAGTTCCTGGTATTTACTGAAAAAGCTGTCAGGTAAGCAATACCCATTATCCATTAAACTGTGGTCTTTGGAACTTTTCAGATAATAGAAATAGTTGTGCAGTGTTTCTTCCATGAGCAGAGGAACAGTAGGGCTTAATTACTTCAGAAAGTTCTGCTTGACTGTACAATCTTTTTTCCCCCTCTTTTCTAGTACAGTTTACAGATGTGTCTATTGCTGTGTATGGTGTACTAATTCCACTGTTTAAATCTGTTAAAACAACTGTAACATTTTAATATTCTTTCAGTATTGGCTGACATTATGAAAAAAGGAAAATCTACAGTCTGTACAAACTGAGAAGTTGTGCTGTTCTGAAGTTTTTCTAGCATACTTTGAAGGTGATGCCCTTCAGAATACTGAAGATTTAATTGTGTCTTGGTTACAAGAGTGTTTAAAGTTTAGACAAAAGACCCTGTCATTGCTGTAGCTGTCAAGGTGCCAACATCTTCAAGATAAAAACGTCCTTTTTTCCCCCCTTTTCATTGCTTAATAAGCAGGAGGACTGGATCCAATGTACGCTGGCCATTGCATGTCACTGCTGCCTGCTAGGCTGAAAATATGCTGTTTAGTCATCTGGGTGCTCTGTAAGTGCGAATGACGGCACGATTGAAATGTGCCAGCTTTAGCTGAGCGCCCCAGAAGACTGGGGTTAGTGGAAAAAGACAGAAGTGTTCTACAGTGAAAATAATAATCTTGATAGATTTCTAACCTCTAACTTTTGAGCTTCCCATCTTGTTGAGATACTGTAATACTTGAAATTTTATCTGCAGTTTTTTTCCTAGGAGAATATTGCGTTGTCAATACATTTCGCTCTTTTGAAACAAGAGCTGGTTTGTTAGATACTGCGATCACTGGGGTATTATGATAGCCAAAAGTGGAAAAGTGAGGAAACTTTTATTTAAGATGCTAAGTAAGGGGTAGTACTCAAATAAAAAAGAGACATGAAACTTTTAATTTGTTGGTCTGATTTGGAAGCAGCCCTATGAGATGTAGTACAGTCATTTTCTAGTGTGTTCTCTTAATTAAAATTCAGGAGGCATTTTCCTGTTCCCTGGCTTAACTGAAGTTCTTGCTGTGCTTTTGTTCCATATCTGAATAGATGTTGTTGAAAGCCAAAGTGTAAGGGAGAACTTTTCAAAGCCGGCATGACTCACTGAACGGTGAGAATATCACAAAGTGTACAGGCAGCTGTGTTCACAGGGCTGTTTTAAACTGACAGCTAACTTTTCAGTGGAAGGTAAGCAGGAAGGTTTTTAACTGTTGAAAAATCTACAGTAACTTAATTCTGATATAAGATACTCCTCATGGTATTTTAACAGATTGGCAAGCAGTGAGGTGAACAAAAAAGAATGAAGGGAACAAGAGATGGTTGATACTGGGTAAATTTGAAACAGTTTGCTGTAGCTGAGTTATTGTGGGTATGTGTGTTCATGGGACTCATAGGGAAGTCTGTCATCTTGGATAGTTGATAAAAAGTGTTGAAATCAAATGGAATTTATGTTGAAACCTGTTTGATTATCTTTGCTGTCCTAAGTTGAAAAAGTAAAAAGGTTTGGTTATAGATGTATGCATGAACTAAACAGCTCTAAAACTGGTTCTTAGGTCTTGAAATTAAAATTTACTGAGGTATCATAGATACACAAACTTTAAATATGTTGGTACTTATACTATATTTTTATGAACTGTGGCTCCAGGATGAAATTTAGTTAAGATATGTAAGTAAGTTGTTAGAAAGTTTACATATTTTGAAATGTAAATACATCCAGTAGTTAAACATTGTGTTAATTTTGTCTTGAATACACAAAAAACCTAGTTGAGCACTGACCTGAGTATGTGAAGGATCTTAATTATATTTTTTCTCTTTCTTTGTAACTTGCATTATTATTATTTAATTGCCTTTGTGAAGTGTTATGACCAGGGAAGAAGGTTACAGAGAAGAATTTAGCTATGACAGGATGCCAACTTTGGAGCGGGGAAAACAAGAGAATGGAAATTATATACCAGATATCAAATCCAGTGACCTTCAGCTGTCAAAGAGGCTGCATCCTT